ATAATCGGAACAGTTAGTTATAACGGCAAGTTATAATCGGAACAATTAGTTATAACGGCAAGTTATAATCGGAAAACGCTTTTTGATGGTCTAAAGTAAATGTTTGTCGCTGGTATTTTAAATTGTTTTGCAATTCTAGAGAAAATGGTTTTAATTACTGAATTAAAGAGAAAAATTATTGAAATCATAAAAACTTTACAAAATTAGATATAAATTCATTTTAACAAGTATTGAATGAAAACAGAAATTGAAATTAAATTTTGAACTTAAAGTTCAATGTTTGCAGATTTTGTGCGCAAACATATATTGTTGATTATAATATATATATATATATATATATATATATATATATATATATATATATATATATATATATATATATATATATATATATATATATATATATATATATATATATATATATATATATATATATATATATATATATATATAGATAGATATATAAATATATATATATATATATACCAATATATATAATACCAATATATATACCAACATATTTATATACCAATATATATATATATATATACCAATACTGTGTTATCTTTAAAATCCTTTATTTAGGCCTCAATTAAACCCTAAAATAAAGGACAGAAGTTAAATGATTAAGCATGTTTGGAAAACAAGTCACATAGTTAAGTATTAAAGTAAGAGATTGAGAATAACCAAAAGATTTTGACTTTAGTACAGGTCAGTGGTAGTAGGGAACAACCAAAAAAGAACAACAAAAAAGAACAATAAAATAGAACAACAAAAAAGAACAACAATAAAGAACAACCTAAAAGAACAACAAAAAAGAACAATAAAAAAGAACAACAAAAAAGAACAATAAAAAAAAACAACAAAAAAGAACAACAAAAAAACAACAACAAAAAAGAACAACAAAAAAAAAACAACAAAAAAGAACAACAACAAAAAAAACAACAAAAAAGAACAACAAAGCAAAACAACAAAATAGAACAACAAAAAAGAATAACAAAAAAAGCAACAAAACAGAACAAAAAAAAAAGAACAAAAAGATGGTTAAGCTTTTACTTAATCAAAATCCATTAACTAGAAAGTTTTTTAAGTCAGAGATATTTTCTCCTAGCTATAACCTAGAAAAGCGAATCATAATTTGCTGTTGGAAACCAGGCAGGTTGTACTTTCTTATATTTTACCAGAAGAAAGATGATCATAATAACCTTAATCTTGAACTAATCTTAAAAACTAAAACATATTACTGAGGCATATTACTAAAACATATTACTGAAATATTACAAAATACGGTAACAAGTTACTGGAGCAAACTACTAGATTAAATTACTTGATTAATAAATCATTTGGACAATGGGTATATAGTGATGCGGCAGGGTCTTCTTTACCTTCGCTACCTGATATTAAATGAAAACCATAACCATGCCTACGAATAGGGCAGAACCAAAAAAATGCATAAGTTGTTTCTTTTTTTTGAAACAGAAGGAAATTGTTTATCAAAGTTGACATCATAATAGTATCAAAAACAAATTTTTTACAATCTTTTTTACCTATAGTAAAACACGAGTTTTTAATTATGTTTGCATATGCACTAGATTCATTGTAAGTATGGATGTTAATTATTACTTTTATATTATAGTCAACAAGCATGGCTACATCATAGCAAGAAGTAAACACAATGTATGACGATTCTGGACAGTAATATTTTGATTCATGCACAAGACTATTCAGCTCTTTAATTGAACTGTATTTTCCAGCACCGACATCATAACAAATGATAGATCTGAACAGAATTCCATTGATGCATCAGTTCCAAGTAACGAAAAAAAAAAATCTGCTAGCGCTCTTCTTTCTTACAGAAAATGATTATTCCAATAACCATCTTTTAAAAAGCAGCCTTGGCATAGAGAGGTATAAAAAAATGTATAGAATTTGCTAAAAGTGATACATTATGACCATCATCACAACTCTTTTTCACATCACAAATAGTACGGATACCTTTCCTTGCATGTTCAAAACCTTTAGGGTTTCTTTAGCTTTCTCTTTGATGTTAGGGATGAAACAACAGTCAAACATGCTGAGTGTTGTTTCCGGAACTTCTTTAACCTCAGGATATTCAATAGCTTTTAAAAATGTTTGTTTAAACCCAAGCTAAGTTTTGTTCCGTCACATGCTAAAATCTGATTACTGTTTCCGTCACACACTTATAATATATATATATATATATATATATATATATATATATATATATATATATATATATATATATATATATATATATATATATATATATATATATATATACATATATATATATATACATATATATATATATATATATATATATATATATATATATATATATATATATATATATATATATATATATATATATATATATATATATATATATATATATATACATATATATATATATACATATATATATATATATATATATATATATATATATATATATATATATATATATATATATATATATATATATATATATATATATATATATATATATATATATATATATATATATATATATATATATATATATTTAAGCTATTTATAATGTATTCTACAAAAAGAGTGCTCAATGTTCTTAAAAGAAAAGAGCAATTACAAATTAGTAGAAAATCACTTAGCAAAATTTTTTTTCATTTAACACTGTGTTCCATCAATAAAGACTCATCAGAAATGAATGATCAAATTAATAAAACTTCAATTTATACCAAAAATTAAATTTTTTAACAATATTGGCTTTCAAATTGAAATAAACATAAATTTAAAAATTGTGAACTTTCTTGATGTCACATTTAACCTCTCGGAAAATACATATAAGCCTTTCAAAAAACCAAACGATGAATTATTGTATATTAATATTAACTCAAATCATCCACCCCAAATTCTAAAACAAATCCTGATTTTAATTAATAACAGGCTTAACCAAAACTCTTCTAATGAAAATGTATTCAATTCCTCCAAACAGATATTTGAAGATGCTCTTAAAAAAAGTGGTTTTGAAAACTTTGAATTAAAATTTGACCCTGAAAAAAAGAATACAAAAAAGCGAAATAGAACTAGAAATATAATTTGGTTCAACCCCCCATATAGCAAAAATGTTTCTACAAACATAGGAAAAGAGTTTTTATAATTGATCGATAAGCATTTCCCACCCTCTAATAAATTACATAAAATTTTTAATCGAAATACTATTAAAGTTAGCTACAGTTGCACAAAAAATATGGAAAGAATTATAAAAGGTCACAACAATGCTTTGTTAAACAAACAAAAAATCCAAAATGAGAAAACTACAGAAAATTGTAATTGTAAACAAAAAAAACAATTGTCTAATGAGTGGAAGTTGCTTATCAAAAAATGTGGTATATAAATGTGTTGTCTCCTCTAAGAATGTACCTGATAAACAATATATTGGCATAACAGAAGGTGAATGGAAAAAACGTTTTGCCAATCATAAGCAATCTTTTAAAAATAAAAAGTATTCAAAAGACACCATGCTGTCAAAATATATATGGGAATTAAAAGATAAAAATATTGACGATTTTACACTGAATTGGTCCATCCTTAAAACAGTGCCTGCATATAACAATATTTCCAAAAAATGCATACTATGTCTACAATAAAAATTTGAAATAATTACACATACAAACCAAGAATGTTTATTAAACAAAAAATCGGAATTGATTTCTAAATGCAGGCACGAAAATAATTTTCTCCTAAAAAACTATAAAAATAAGTGAGCTCAAGTAATAGTTACATTAACTCCCCTTTGAAAAAAATATATTATTTTTTAAAAAAGCTTAATACCATGTTCACACTAGCGATGTTCGGCGGAACATTATTTCGGAACAAATGTTCCTGGAACAAAATGTTCCACAAAATATTACTTGTAGCGTTCACATGTAAAATTGGCTTGACGGTACATAAAAGAAAAAACGAGTAAAAACGGTAAGTAAAACTCGAATAAAAATTAGTGACAAACAGTTTGGCAAATACACATTGTTAATATAATTTATTAATTTTTAATATTTATTCCTTTATGAGAGGTAAAACTAAATGCAAATAACGCTGAGGGTTTAGCTAGCTCAGAGTTAGACAATAGAAACCCAACCCAAAATACCCGTCATACAAAAGGTGACGCTGGAATTTTGTTATCCCGTTTCTTGGATTTTATGGATAGGTCATATCTCCTTTAGTCGCTTTTGACGACACAGAATAGTAGTCCATCAGTGGTATAGTACCGAATAAACATATTATACATTAATATGTTACCCACGACCAATTAAAACTAATCTCATTTTGTGTTCATACATATTTAATATTTATTTATTTAGACACATTTGATAACCTCAAGGAAAGTAAGTTTAGTTAAAAACTACTAAATACATAACCATATTACAGCTAAAACTTTAAATAATAAATGATATTATTACTACTTTATAAATAAAATGATATTATTACTACTTTACTTGTCCCTTTCATAAAGGTATTTAGCAATTGAGTCACGAACATTTTTTCCTGGTCCATTGTTCCCAGTTGTAGAAACTGTATTGGGTTGAGCTAGACTGTCATTATGATGATGCATAAGCCATTCTATTATAATAATATCGTCATAATATTCATCGCAAAAAAAATTATTTGGTAAAAATACTAAATATATATAGTATAGAGATACAAAAAAAGGTATTTATAAAATAACATGACAAATTTAAAAAATACCACCAGATATGCATTTTAATGCTTGAAATCACAAAATATTTTTATTTTACATAAAGTAAAAATTCCTTTGATAATAGTAATATGGTAACATAAAAATTCATCTACAAGCTTGTACAATATTTCACTAACCATCTCTTTAGTTAAAACATTGAAAAACCTTATGAAATATATATTGCATAGAATTGTAAACAAGGTATACTGTTGAAAAAATACTGAGCTTTCAACTTTAACATAATTACTAAAAAGATATCTTGACTAATAGAACACCTTATTTTTTTATTAAAAATTTATAATATTCTACTTGGGCTTTAGACACATCTACTTGGGCTTTAGATGCATTTTCAATTGCATTGCAAATACGCTCTAAAGCAACAACCTCTCTGATTCGTAGCTCTTGTGAACGGATTTGAACATCTAGATTTTTTTTGCTATTTTTAAATATGCAGAAGAAAAATTTGTTTTTTTATTTTTTCTCACCAGTTCAGTTTTTGCTATTTTTATCAAAGTTTTTTCATCATCAGAGCTCCTTCGTTTATTGCAGCCGGATGTAGATTGAGTTGGTTTCTCACGAGGAATAGTGACAATTGATTGCACATCACTTGTATCATCCAAAGCTTCAATATTTAAAATACTGACAGTCCCCTTGCCATCTTCCATTGTGGCAATCTGTAAATAAAATATACACATTAAAAAAATTACACATTTGAGAAATGATTATAAATCATGTTTCAATCAAAATTTATCTCTTGACTTTGAAAGACTTGACTTGAAGTCATTTTACTACCTTCCTTCCCTAAACAAAAAGGATCTATTTAGACAATAGCATTTAACAATTGATCTAGCCAATATTAAAAGATCTCTTTTATAATTCAAAAACTTTATACTATATGTTTTTGATCTTAATGTTTTTAATTTGCCGAATGTTGCAAAACTAAGAACTTCTTAAACCTTATTTTGTAGAAATAGTTAACATGCTTGTTTATATTACTTTAAAAAATATATAGCACTTTAAAATATACAACAATAACTTATACTAAACTTACCTGACCATCTTGAAAATCTTGAGTAGAAAAGTTTTGACTTTGAGATAAAAGGTCATTGTCAAGGGAAGCTTCACCACCTATTATTTTGGCAACCATATCGTAAGGCCACCATTTACTAGGAGCTCCTCCCGATAAACCAACTTGAAGTTTTTCTCGTCTATGAAAAATATACATAAATATAAGCAAATCATTAACACCGTATAACATTAATCAAATAACTTTAAATGGGTAAATTATTATTAACGAAATAATTATTAACAAAATTAACGAATTATTAACGAATAATAAAATAACAAATTATTAACAAAATAATTATCAACAAGCTGTAAATCTTCAATAAGATTTGAATAAGATTTAAGTAATTTTTAATATAACACTCAGTTACAAACTAAATTGCAATTAGATATTATTACAATCGGTTAGTTTTGTAAAATACTTTCAGTATTTCAGTAAGGTATCAAACATTAAATGTAGAATATGTACATACCTAAATTGCTTCCTCAAATTACTAATTTTAGATTGAATTTGATATCCAGTTAACGGAGGTACGATATTAAATGTGTTTGAAAATTCAGCTGCCATTGGTTTGTAAATTTTTGTGTTTCTTCTTGCAGATGTTAATGCTTTGTAACTATCTTTCCATAAATCTTTTAATACTCTTGTGTTAGCCATATTCCATACAAATTTATTTAAAGGAGATGTGCAAAGACCAATATTTGTTGTGCTAGGGTCAATACACTCTTTTTCTGAATGCTGAGACATTGTGTAAAATTAAAGTTTTACCTACTAAAAAGGATAAGTACATTGAATCTTGCAACAATAACAACAACAACAACAAAATGAAGAGAAATAGCTAATAATAAAATTAAAGGTTAAACTTCATAATTGCTATAAATGTTATGGGCTTAAAATAATTTAATAATGTTATGGGCTTACTAAATAATTTAATAAATTGCCAAAATCTGGTAGCCAAGAGAAGAGAAACTTTCAGATGTACTTTTACTTTTTTTTTCTTTTCCATGCAATGTGATAATTATGTTATTTAATAACATTAATCTTTCAACACTGTTATTTATTTTTATTTTTAAATGTCAATAATTGTAGTACATTGTGGCAAAGATATAAGGTACAGTCATATCAATACAGTCAATCAATAATATATATTCTGAATAAAGGTCTTACTTTCACAATTATTCACAAACAGTAAATTAACAAATATTAAGTAAATACAGAATATTTATGAGAAAAATACAAATGGTAATGTTCACAAATTAAAATAACAAGATAAGACAAAGCTAATATAATAAAATATATATGACATATAAATAAAATATATGACAAAGCTCATATATAACAATATATACCAATAATAATATCATTAATAATATTAATATAAATAATAATAACAATGATGATAATAATGATAATAATATTAACAATTGTTATTGTTATTGTTGTTATTGTTATCATTATTATTATTAATATTATTCTTTTATTATAATTATTATAATAATAATAATATTTTTATTATTATTATCACTGTTGGCAAGGCCAATGATAAACAACTCTGCTTATTAGTTCAAAGTTGAATTTTATAAATAAAATTATAAGTTTATTAAAAATGCATTAATAGCAATGCTTCCCAAGATTATAATTAAATAAAAACTATTAAACAATAAAAATTAAACTTTCTTAACGCAAGTTAAATGTTACCTTGAATTATACTTCTTGTTAATTCAAATTAAAACTGATCTTAATAAGAATAATACTGTTTTTGTAATGTTATATTTTAAGATTAAGTTTTTAAACACACATATATAACTTCTTTTTAAATTAATAAAACACTAATAATTAAATTTCTATTCTATTTATACAAATTTTAAATATCGTTAAAAATAACTTGAAATTTGTGATAGTCAATAATTGTTTTTAAATAATTGCCCACCATCTGGTCTACTCATGATTAATCCCACATGAGTGGGATCGGAATTTCCTTGGTTGCATGAAATTACCACAAGTTTTTACTCAATGATTAAAGATATGAAATTATATTTGAAGAAATGTTTTGAATTCAATAAAAAAGATGGAAGGCAAAAACTAAAAGTTTCAAGGCAACATATTGAAAGGCAAATAGTATATCGATAATCTTGTCTCGATATAGAACCAAGACCTAGGACAGTGCAGAGATCAAGGACTCAAAACTCTGGTTAAGATGACAACAACTTTGTAAAAAAAAATAGTTTGAGTTACTTTCACAACAAATTTGCATCTTGCAATGCATTTTTATTGAATCATTTAGCTTATATGCATACGCTTATTTTAAAAATAGTTGAAAATAGGCACCATTTATTATACAAAACCAAATAAATGTTCCGGAACATTTATTTGTTTGGGTTGGCGGGACGGTACAAAAGTTCCTCAAATGTTCCTTGAATTTTTGTTCCACACGAGAGGATATTAGTTCATGTTCCATGTTCCACGGAATGTTCCATCAAATGTACCCTTGTGTGAACAGCCTATAAGTAATCATTTCTAAAGAATTCTTTTTACAATAGTGTCAGCAAATTACACAAATGTGTGAAAAATTGCAGTAGTTAAGACATGTGACTTCCTGTAATTTAATATTTAATTTTTGGTATAAATTGAAGTTTTATTAATTTGATAATTCATATTTTTTTCAAATTTCAATATTAAAAAAAACAGGTTCGGCCTTTCTCATACTTCGATTGAGTAAAGCAAATATAAACTTACATTAACTCGCATGCCGAAAAGAAACAACAAATAAAATAATTGATCTGAAATATTATGTTAATACTCTCCAGTCGAACTATCTTTTCAATCCCGCTGGATCCGCGCGGGATTTTAAAATTACCGCGGGATCCTATGCGGGATTGGTAGAATTTGATTTTTATACACATTACTAATGACAAAATGACAATAGTGCTATTTTTTCAAGTAATTCATGATAAAAAGCTCAAAAATTATAATTTCTAATCCCACTGGATTCGTGCGGGATATGTATAAAGTTATGGTAAATTTTTCAAGGTGTTTGTAAATGAATATCACTTGAAACTTTTATTAAACAAAAAGAAAATGCAAAAATAATAAACGTAACTTTTTGTTTTATATATCAAATGTGAGAGAACCATAGCAAGAAATTTGTTCTCAATGATCAGACACAATATAAGTATTGTCACCCAATCTAATCAATCCCAAGCGCACTTGCCTCAGAAGCAAAACATCCGTGGTTCAAACCTCACCTATGAGCAAGTTTTGCGACATAGGTAAGGAAGGAAGCGTGAACTTCCATTTGTTTATTTACGATGCTCTGTGATAAGATCCTAAGAAATTCTTGGGGCACCTAAATAAAAAAAAAAAAAAAATCTACTTCTCAAAAGACTGCATATATAACTAATTGCTGAAAAAGGTTACTCGGTCTTGACGTTTGTTGGCGACATATTGTCATCAAGTAATTTTATATTATATTAAAAAGCTTTCCTCTTATTCCGTTACTTTTATAGGTAGACATTTCTTTCTTCAATAATTTCTCAAAACCAAAAAAAGTCAAAACTTGGAATCCTTTTTACATTTCTCCCCAATTTTTCTTCTCTTTCTATACTTAATTTTCTTATTCTTTATTCAACGATAGTAGGACTAAATTGTTGAGAATCCTCTAAAGATTTTTCACCTTTGTTTTCTTCAATCGTATAAACTCTTCTTAACAATTTTTTAATTTGTTGATTCATAACATAAATTTGTTGATTCATTTCCTTTGGCATTGAATATATATTTTCATTTTTTTTAATTTCTTGTTGTATTTTTAAAGATTTTGTAAGTAAATTAATAGAACAGTAAAAGTATTATTACTGTGTTGTGTAAACCTCTTACACAAGTAGCTTAAGTAATGGTTGCAAAATTTATTAATGATTTTTAATGTTTAATAACTCGGAAAAACAATAAAAAAAAAAAAAAAAAGAAAAAGACGATATAGTTGTGAGAGTTAACTTCATCCGTAAAAATATTTGGTTAGAAAATAAATTTTACAATTCTAAGGTACTTAGCAGACCAGAAGTTTATTTAATGGCACACATGCTGTCATAAAAACGTTAGAATTTTTAAACTTAAAAAAACAATCTACAGTTAATATGCCAAAACTGTTTTTCCTCCGAGCTCTTGAAAGATCATTCCATTGAAAACTCTTTAAAATAAAAATATAATGAAAGTTCTAAGTTCCTTAGGGGTTGTTCAAAAAATACGTCATGCAATTTATGACCGTTTTTGACCTAACCCACAAAATCGTAATACTTAAGTAGTACGTGTTGTATGAGTCGTCAAAAAACCACCAAACTCCCCCTTCCCCTTATAGGGTGACGTAATTTATGGACGAATGAAAAAATTTTTTTTTATAAATTACTTTTTTGATTATTTATTTGAAATAATTAAAAGTTAAGAAATGTTTTGACTAAAACATAAAAATACGATTAACAATATATAATTAATAATTTATTATTCAATCATAAAAATTTGTTCTATACACGCTATAATTATAAATTATTACAAATTGCTTAGTTATAAATTATATATAAACTTGATATTCACATTGCTCTACAAATTGTATATAATATATACAAAATCTAATATATGCATATATATAAATATATGTATATATGTAAAAAAATATTAAATAACAAAGACATTTTATGTACAATACAATAAATATACAAAAATAAATAAAAATGTTCGAAGTATTAAATTCATTTACTGTTGCTAAATCTGATGTATAGTCTCATTAAAAGAAATTGAGAGGAATTATGACATTGCTATTTTTCAAAAGATAAAAACAAATTTTTAATTTTTTTAATTTTTAAACCTAAAAACAGTTTGTTGCTGTATAAAAAAAGTTAGAAATTATTAAAAGTATTGGAAAACTTTATAGGAAAAATAAAAGAATAGAATCCTCCATAAAAAAGCGTTCTATTCTAATTGAAGCTTTAGTTGCTTAAAGAAAGAAACATTCTAGCTTTTTATTGGTTTCTTTATGTGTTGTGCGTTTAACCAGCTGTTTACTTTGTTTCGGTCTACCGAGCGAAAGTTTTTCACTCCATTACATTTTTTTCCGCCTTGAATAAGTATAGATGGATGCGAAACAACTGTTTGCGATGCAGCAAACAGCCTGTCTAAATGCACAAAATTGCGAACGGATTCATTTGGCTGTGTAGGTTTAGAACTTTGTAGCTGCTCCTTAAACTGTTGATGAGATAGTCTGCTAATATTTAAATCATTTTGATTTTTATTGCTTTTTAGGTCTCTAAACTTACTGACATTTTGTAACTCTCTGTTTAAATCATTTAGTTTGTTATTGATATATGATTCTCTGCGAATAAATACCTGCGACTTGTCGTCATAAGTAGATTGAGAAGTACTTGTGTCTGTTCCAAACAGTTCGTCGATATGAATTTTTCTATCTGACTTTGGAATAACCAATTGACGATCAAGCAATAGCTCGCAATTATTCTTTGTCTGTCTCGTTTTCTCTCGAAAAGAATTGTTCTCGACAGAGGTAGGTCTATTATACCGAAAGCTTGGTTTAACTTCATCGTATGATTGCTTTTCTTTAATCCAGTTACTTGTTTGGTTGTCGTTTGTTTTTGGTTGGATGTATAAAGATAAATTTTGGTTGCGGTTTTTAAGGTTTGGGGTATTTTGATCGTTTACTTCTACGTTTATTTTGTTAAAATCTTCGTTTTTCTCGTTTACTTCAACGTTTTTTGACAATAAAGTTTCACTCAAGTTATAAAATGTTTTGTTTTTATTACAGTTTTTGTTACCGCGTAATGAACTTGGTTTTTTCGAATCAGGTATATTTGTTGTTGGGTGTAATGCTTTTGACTGAAACAAACACATATTTCCTATCCACGGTTCACGACTTGCTTCCTCCGAATTTAAACGAATCTCTGGATTTTTTTCAAGCAATTTGTTGATAAACATTTTAGCATTTGACGAGACGTTGTTCCATATCTAAACAATTAGGTTTTAAATCATAGCTAATAATAAAATTAAAGTTATTGTTAAAAGAAAGTTATTGTTCTAAATTGTACTGTATAAGTTATTTGCGTAATTAAATTATTTTTGCTTGCATAAAAAGTATTTTGTGTTTAAATAAGTAATACGTTGAGAAATATGAAAAAATATTAAATTTTTTTTATTTTTCTTTGTCTAGTTATTTTGCCTTGTGTCTTTGTCTTGTTTTTACTGTCTTCTTTCTTTGTCTTGTTTTTGTGAGTTAAGTAAATAATGATAATGGTTAATAATGATATTTATGATTGTTTTGTGTTTTTAGTTCCAGAATTATTATTGCGTTATCTAACAAGTGATGTTCCAAACTGTAAATAAATGCAGGTAAGATAGGAGGTAGTTGGGTTCGCAGGTAAAAATCCTTTTTTTAATCAAATTGATATTCATTTCACATTTATTTTGAGATACGTTAAAAGTTTCAATTTATGTTTCTCGATACCAATTATTTATTTTAAATGCTAAGATGTAATAACAACGTAGTCATCTCTAGTTCCACCAACTAAAATTCTCGTTTGACATTTAGCAAAGTCTCATTATTTTACTGTATCTGTCGCAGCATACTCTAAAAACTTTTATTTGTCTAATTTATTTTTCCGAGAAAGTTCCAATTGGTTGAAACCAATTGGAGCTTTCTCTAATATTCATGTTTTCCTGACTCATTTAACCTAAAACCTTTTAAGTTTTTTGGTGAGTCGGTTTCTTACTCTAAAACTTTTTTTTTTTTTACAAGTAACTTCCAGCTTAATAATGGTCGGTAGCAGTCTTGTTGGGAGTGAATCAGAACAAAAAAAACTTAAAAAAAAATCTTTAGAAATGAAACTAGTAGTTATGGGTAATAATAATAATAATAATTTTTAAATGAGCAGGTAACAATTATTAATTTTATACAACAAATTTTGTTGAAATAATAATAATCAACAGTTAATAACTAAAAAATTAAAAATTTAGAACATCAAAAATTCACAGGCATCGCTTTGATAATAATTTGTTTTTATCCAAGAAATTGAATTTTTTTTTGAAAGTTTAACATGCATTAGAGTGGCAGTCTTTTGAGTATCATTATTCACAGTTTGTAAGACCGCATGGAAAGTAAACATTTAAATACACTAGCGTTCATATGAGCTAAACAAATTTTAATAGTATTTTTATGTTTTTTTATTGTCTTCAGTTTTTTTGATCTATTTATCTTTTTTTTTTTAATTATTGAATCCTCGCGTACACTAATCAAAATTTTTTATTATTAATAATACTATCATTGTTTCCCGGTGTAGCAACATAATAGGGTACTACAACTTTGATCTGTTTAGGAACCTATATGTACAATCAATTCAAAGCTATATATTTTGCGAAATTAACATAAAAGCATTTTTTTTATAGATTTTATTTTCAGAAAACGAGTTTAAAATGAGTTTTAAATTTTTCTAAAACTTTTTTTTTTGTGCTTTGTTAACTTTTTTTTGTGTGAATATTTTAGAAATTTTTTATACATTTATTTTATGCTTTATTTACAATAAATAACATTTATTTTTATTATTCTCTATACTATGTTATAAATAATCGAATTATTCTTTTTATTATAATAAGGGCATAATTTTATGGTTTGCAAAAAGTTATTATGACTGTATTTTTAAATACCATTTGGTAATAGTTAAGCATTTTTAAGAACTTTTTCTTTTGAAAAAACTTTTTTTTTTAAAAGCCAAAGTTTATTTCTTTTTATATTCTTTATTGCAGGTTACTTTCTTTTTCGTATTGTAATCTACTTGTATCATTAAAAAAAAAAACGTAAAAAAAAAAAGGGATTTAAACAAATATATAATAATATATAAAATAAAACTTGACTTTTCAAAAAGCAAAAGCAAAAAAAACAAACAACAATACAATTGTTATCAATTCATAGATACTTAAGTTTTGAAAACGTAACATTTTACTTTTTGTTGTCAAATATTTCTCTTGTAAATAACACTTTGTATTATGATTTAAAAAATTATGATTATAACTTATAATTTATAAGTCATAAGGTAGTTTATAGTTATATTAATTATATATCTGAATTATATATGTTGAACTTAATAGTAATAGTAATATGCTAATTATATATGCTGAACTTAATAGTAGTAGTAGTAGTAGTAGTACCTCTTCGAGCGTGTTTGACACGGAACCCATTGCACCCATTGCAACGTAGGCAATGGCGAGAAAGAGTTGCAGAACTTTTTTTTCATAAAAAAATGTAAACGAAAGTGTTGCAAGTATTTAACTTATGTATAGGGGAGACCGGGGCTAGTTGGCAGCAGGGGTAAGTTGACGAATTGCGTTTATCTGCAAAGTCTTTCATCAAAAAGTGCCAATAATTTCAGGAAACCTTCTTAGTTGACCATTTCATCTTTCACTGTAGTATTGTGGGGATTTGCGCATGCGCATAAAAGATATTGTGATTTATGTGTTTTTTCCACATTTTTGTAACTTTTACAACTTCTTTATTTTTTCGATTTTTAAAAGCAATTTCATCAAGTACAAGTAAACTTGATTGGAGTTATATCTTGCATGGTTCAGTAAAATCTGTCCAACCATTATTTTTTATTTATATACGTTTTTCAGGGATCGGTAGGGGAGTTTGTGACCAAATAGCTGTCGGGGTTAGTTGGCAAAATTTTGGCGGGGCAAGTTGGCCGTATATATCAACTAAACCCGGTTGCGATTGGACATAAATTTTAACTTTTTCTATAAATTTTGATTTATTTTTTTAAAAATCGATTAGATAGATCACATATATTACATGCGAAACTATAAAAGAAAAACAAAGAGGGCTATAACTCCTCAAAATGTTATAAAAAATGCTGTTGATGCTGTTTTATTAGAAGGAAAATCTATACGAAAAACAGCCAAAGACTTTAATATCCCTGAAAAAAGTTTGTCCCGATACTGCAAAAAGCAACAACGTCATAGTCAGCAAATATCAGGTTACATAAAATCTAGACAGGTCAGTATATATAATATATATATATATATATATATATATATATATATATATATATATATATATATATATATATATATAATATATATATATATATATATATATATATATATATATATATATATATATATATATATATATATATATATATATATATATATATATATATATATATATATATATATATATATATATATATATATATATATATATATATATATATATATATATATATATATACATATATATATAAACTTAATATGTTTTGTATAGTAATTATTATCTCATATATAAGATTTTATATATATATATATATATATATATATATATATATATATATATATATATATATATATATATATATATACATATATATATATAAACTTAATATGTTTTGTATAGTAATTATTATCTCATATATAAGATTTATATATATATATATATATATATATATATATATATATATATATATATATATATATATATATATATATATATATATATATTTATATATATATATTTATATATATATATTTATATATATATATTATATATATATATATATATATATATATATATATAAATATATATATAAATTTATATATATATATATATTTATATATATATATATATATATATATATATATATATATATATATATATATATATATATATATATATATATATATATATATATATATATATATATATATATATATATATTTACAAATAGAGTTCTCAATGATCTTAAAAAACATATAAGTTATATTTTATAACTGTGTATTAGTATGTGTTATAACACATACTAATACAATGTGTGTGTGTGTGTATAACACATACTAATATATATTAGTATGTGTTATGCACACACACACACATATATATATGTGTGTTATATAACACACACACACACACACACACACACACACACACACACACACACACACACACACACACACACACACACACACACACACACATATATATATATATAGTGTTATTTGTTTTAATATTGATATTGTTCATTTAGGTCTTTACTGATTTACAAGAAGGTCTGTTGGAACAATATGTGACTAAAGCTTCTGATATTTATTATGGACTTTCTCCTAAGGAAGTGAGGAAACTAGCTTATCAGTATGGAAAAGCGAATAGCATAAAAATGCCTCATAAATGGAGTGCAAATGAAGCAGCTGGAGAAGACTGGTTCAGTGCTTACCTCAAAAGGCACAAAAAACTGTCAATAAGAAAACCTGAGGCAACAAGTCAAGCACGTGTTTCCAGTTTTAATCCAACAAATGTTCAAAAGTTTTACAACAATTTACAAACTATTCTTAATCGTTTAAAGTTGGAAAATGGAGATATTTGGAATATGGATGAAACTGGTATTACCACAGTTCAAACTCCAGATCATATTGTAGCAAGAAAGGGTTTTAAACAAATTGGGCGTGTTACTTCGGCTGAGAGAGGCAATTTAGTAACTGTGGCAGTTGCTGTTTCTGCCAGTGGAAATTCAATTCCTCCATTTTTCATATTTCCTCGTGTGAAATTTAAAAGCTATTTTTTAAATGGTGCTCCTGATGGAAGTGCAGGCGCTGCAAACCCATCTGGTTGGATGACTGAAGTTCAATTTTTGCAGTTTTCCCATCATTTTGTCAAATATGCCAGAAGTACAAAAAAACGACCTGTTTTGTTGCTATTAGACAATCATGACTCTCATCTTTCAGTAGAGGCTTTAGATTACTTTAAAGAAAATGGGGTATCGGTTTGTTCATTTCCTCCTCATTGCAGCCATAAACTTCAACCTCTAGATCGAAGTGTATTTGGACCTTTTAAAAAATACACAAACACAGCTTGCGATGCGTGGATGACAATGCACCCTGGTTCCACAATGTCTATTTACAGTATACCAGGTATTGTGGGTAACTCATTTCCATTAGCATGTACCCCTAATAATATCAAGGCTGGTTTTGCAAAAACAGGAATTTACCCACTAAATGTTAACATTTTTGGTGAACACGATTTTATGCCAGCCTATACCACAGATAGACCACCTCCGAAACAAGACTGTGCTGTGGAAAGTACAGTGCTAAATATAAGTAATGTAATGGATGTTGACTTTACAATATCTGAGAATGACATGTTAAATGCTGGTTGCTCAAAAGATATAGAACCACGTCAAGATATTTCATATTCAAGCAGTAATGATGAACACAGTGCATCTACAGAGTCAACTGTAGTTCTATCGCCTGAAGATTTAAGACCATTCAAAAAAGCTGAACCAAGAAAAAGAGTTAGGGCTAATAAAAGAAGTAGAACCACATCAATTTTAACAGATTCACCAAATATGAATGTTTTAAAAATAGAGAAAGAATCAGCTAAAAAGAAAAAGTTAGCAATTGAAGAGAGAAAACAAGCAAAAAAGTTAAACGAAGATAATATTAAGATGAGTAAAAGATCAAATAGTAAAGGAAGTTTACACTTAATGGAGAAAAGTTTGAATTGTCCAAATAGCTCTGTTGTAGAGGAGTGTTTTTGTTTGGTTTGTGTTGGAATGTTTTCTAAAAGTAAAGCAGGGGAAGTTTGGGTTCAATGCACCCAATGTCACCTTTGGGCTCACGAGTCATGTATAATCGGAAAATCTTTGTTTTTCATTTGCAATAATTGCTGCTAGCCGATTTGAAACTCCATTAGTTAAAAATATTCATGTAATAAAACAATATAAGTTTTAATTCTTATTGTATTACCATAAATTGGGAACACTGTTTTGTTTTGTCACTGTATTTTTTAATTATATTTACTTTCTATTGCTTAAAATGTTACAATGACTTGATCCAAAAGTTTGATGATATTGATAAAAGTATATTTCTGCTATGATTCCTTTAAAAAAAAGGGGCTCGGGGTAAAAATATTATTGAAATACACTTAAATAGGACCTTTAACTTTAGCTTTTATTATTGCGAGTCAACTTACCCCTTGAGTATAAGCAACTTACCCCATGGTGGGGTAAGTTGGCGCAATTTTTTTTTTTTTTTGAGGGCCCAGAAAGGCCCCACAATATTTTTTTTGTAAATGAATACAACTTTTATAAGTTACCCAAATTCATACTCTTTGAAACTACACTTTTATGTTTTCAAAAAAATGTTTCGTTAGGGCTACAGAACTCATAGAGTAAAAACCGAGTCAACTAGCCCCGGTCTCCCCTACTTTAAGTCTTTTTTAATTTTTTAAAATACAAAATAAAGTATTTTTGAAGTTCTTTAGATATTATATACATAACATATATAAAGATATTATACTATAAGAAACGAAAAGAATAAAATTATTAAAAATGCTTAAATTTCTAAAAACATCAAAACACCTGAAGCAAATTTGTTGCGCATAAGTCATGATAGAGCTACTTATGTTATTAATATGCTCTGGAAATTAGTCCTAATAAGTCGCGGACGGTCTGAAAAAAAATGATGGTCTAAAACTTAATAATATTTATTTTTTTGCTATAAATATATACGGCCAGATTGTAAGAAATTGAAAATATACTGTTTTAACGCCCGGATTCGAACTATAAAAAATGACATATAAACACTAGGGTTATGACTTTTTATCAACCCCATGCTCCTGTACTGTAGTTTGAAGAACATTTACCTAAAAAGCACGAAATGAACTAATACTTGCATATCTTTTCAAAAAAGTTCACCCCGCCATTGAAAAATCGATTTTGACATAAGTACTATCTTTATCATTTTTTTCATATTCACTGCCGTCAGTCAGAATCACTAAAACCAGGATAGTAAGATGATGAGCTGAATGACTCATTAGAAAGTTTTTGTCTTTTAGAGTTTACTGTTTTTTTACTGGCCGCATGGCATGTAGAGTATCCCACTGTTCCTTACTTTCCACTTAGAGATGGGACAATTGCTCGGAAGATAACCATGTTCCATCCAATTTAGCAATATCAAAAATTTCATCAAGGTATTAGTAGCTTCCCCGCTTGACACATTCATCATAACATTTCAGTATTTTTATTAAGCTTTGCTCGTATAATGTGATCAGATATACGAGGAAAATTTAGTTTATTCTTCCACAATTTGGTAACTTCGTAGGAAATTTCCGTCTTTCGCTTCTTTCATTCTTTTGTTTTAAGCGTTCAATAATTTGCTTTTGGAGAGGCATTCTTCACTTTTCTTCCAGTGAATATTCTTCCAAAGGGACCATTCTTATTTTATGAGTCTTCAAATTTTACCAAATTATTGGTCCTGACATCCTTATTCTTCTGAATGCCACTATCGCTAGGCTTGTACGATGTTATGTGTTGCTTTTGTAATAACTATAAAATTTGATGAGCAGCTATATATAGTCTAAAATGTTCTAGAATATTCCAGAATGTTCAAAATTGTTCTAGAATGTTCCAAATTGTTCCAGAATGTTTTAAATTGTTCTAGAATGATCTAAAGTCTTCTAAAATACTATGTTATTTCCAAAATGTTCTAAAGTTCTAAACATTTCTAATCTATACAAGTTTTAAATGATTTGCAGAATAGCCACACCTATTAGTAGTAGCAGTAAAAAGATTAAATAAATGACGAAACGTAATTTGAATTGCAGGATTACCTTTTTTTACAACCGAGAGGAATTAAAAATGTTTTCTTATAAAAGTTCATCAGTTTATGAAACAGGAAATTATTTTTTTTAAAAAAGTTAATTTTCCGAGTTTTTTTTAAATAATCACTGATCCACCACCGACAACATATGACAACCGCTGATCTATCAAATTTACGCATGTAATTGAAAAACAAACCCTTTTATAAACTTTTATACCGATTGCAATTAATCAACAATTTTTAAGGGGGTTCTTTAAATAAGCACAGCTTTATTTCATATATTACAATAAACAAATATGTTATGTACAAATGTAAAAAATCTACTTATATATCAATTTATACACCATCGTGTGTAATAAAGAAACGTTTGCTAATAATTAAAAGTCTTTTTTGCTTAAACTGTTTTTTTTTTAATTTTTGTATTTATGTTATTTTATTTCAAAGATTAACAAGTTTAAAAAAATACAAAACATATTGTCTCATGCAAGAAACTTTGATTAGACTTGCTTATATTTAGACTTTCTGGATAATTTCTGATTGCTCAAGTTACGTCATGACGTAACTTGAGTAAGTGTAAACGCCTTCAGCATATGTTGAGTTTGCAGGCGGTATATGGAACGAGTGTGTGTAGTGCAATATTAGAAAACTTTAAAACTTTATTTTAAAAAATAAAAGTCTTTTTTTGCTACATATATACATTTTTTTTGCTACAAATATAAAGGCAAGATTAAAAAAAAATTGAAAACTATTGCAGTAAGAGGAGCAAAAAAAATTGCAAAGACCTCTATTTTTACGGGTCCGATTAGCTAAGAAATATTTATTAACTCCTCATAAATTATACGTACTTCCAAAAATAGTCATTTACTATTTACACTGAAAATTTTAGCAAGTTCTGTTTGGATAGTGTTTTGCGTTTGATGACCACAACTTAAAAAATATTTTTGTCAATATAGTCGAACAGTTTTATATAAAAACGAATTTTATTTGCAATCGGAGTTTCCTTTTTATATCTTCATATGTGTGGATATTTTTTTGTAGAAATTGTTTTTTTTTTTTTTTATTTACATTTCTTTTTCCAAGTGGAGATCATCACCAATGCTCCTAGATAACGGTTTTTTTTGTTTATGCTTGTTGTGTTTAAATAATCCCATGAATTTATTTTGGAAAGGTGCATCAATAAAAAATACAACCGTATAATTGACATTGCCGTTAAAGTTAAGCCATACTTTCAGTTTAGATTGTAGAGAATATATCATTTTTAGTAAGTTTGGAGTTCTTTATGCTATATTTATCTATCACAACTTTTGAAATTACCTGAAAATGCAAGATATACCTGAGCTAGTTATTTTCGTAATCTTTTTGAATGGTTTGTAGAGTATGATACTGTAGTTTTATACATAAAAAAATAGTTAAAAAGTTAAAACAGCTTGATTTAACAGTCAATAAATATTGCGTGCTGTTACATGACCTGTCACAAATGAAACAAAAACGCCCGCAGCGTATCTAACATGAGCAATTCAATGAACGCAGGTCGGAAACTTCTAAAATTAACTAAGTGTCGCCGAATATTTGGCAGCTGAATATTCGATGCTTTGGCCGAGCGCCTAGCCAAATATTCGTTTTTCAGCTAAATCACTATACGTGACATCTCTAGTTATGAATATAAGTAAACTTTCTACCCTACCAAATACGAGGAGGTTGTAAATTTTACATAACTTTAATACACTTAACAGTTATCAGATAAAATTAAAAACGTGTCAATGAATAAATTTAATATTAGATAGTAAACAAATATTTTAGAATTAATGTAAACATTATTAGTTATAGCAAACTTTCATTATATACATTTCATTATATACATTTAGGATTGAGGCTGCTAAACGTTTTAGTTATTTTTATTCCCTGATTTCAATTACCACAATTTATTGCCAAACATCTTTGTTTGACATGATTTATTATACTTTTTAAACAACTTCATCATAGTAAGTATGAATTTAATCTTGTCTTGAAACTATTATTTTATCTTTATCCAGTCTTACGAATCCCCGTCTTAAAATCTTGTTCAATCATTGTTAAATTTTATTATAAAAAAAAATTCTTATTAAACAGTGACGGATCCAGGATTTTTTACTGTTTGAGATAACTAACTTTCAAACACGGAGCAAACTCTAATAAAGTTAAAGGGCTTTTTTATTCCCAGCCTCTAATCATCGCAATTTTTTGCAAAGCATCATTAAATTAAACATTATTAAGACTTGTCAAAAAGATTGTCAAATTTAAATAATTGTGGTAGGGGACATAATAAGAGGCGTGGTAAGGGACATTTTTACGCATGAAAGTTGATAATCTTAAAAAAAAACGAATAACAAGGCAATTTAAATCAAATATTTATTATATTTGATTTTTTATTTTAAAAAACTATCCTTAATCTATACACTCTTAAAAATGGTGAAAAGAACCTCAAAGGTATATCACATCTCCTACCTGTATACATACAGTGACTTAAAAAATTATTTAATTGTCAAATATAAATCACAAAGTTTTCATTCTAAAAATAAAGGAATTTAGATTAATTTTTTTATTGTCAAAAAAATATTTGATCAAACACATTTTTTATTTTATAATAAACTATCAAATAAAAAAAAAATTATTTAATAAACTATCAAATTATTAAAAATTAGGGTCATTTTGCTTCGATTACAGCTTTCAACGTCTAGGCATTGATTCGACTAAAGATTTTATTTTTTCTGGTTAAATTTGTTACCAGGCTTTTTCAATTGCCACTTTGAGGTACTCTTTTCATTAAGTTCTGGTGATTAGGCGGGCAATTCCCCAGGGGTGTGAAGTCGTAAAAAAAAGTAACGACTTCGACTCCGACTCCAGTTGTTGAAACTTTTTGATTACAACTCCGACTCCAACTCCGGCTCCAAATCCGACTCCTAATCGAACTCCAAAGCAAAATTTTTGAAAAATTCTTTGAATTCTTTAAAAAATATTTCGCGATAAGTTGAAATTTTTTTTTTGACAAATTTATGAAACATTCTTTGAGGTTTAGTATGAACATAAGGTTAATTGAATTTTTTGTACATGCACGTGCAATGCCAAGAAATTTTACTATCGGAGACGGAGTCGGAATATTTTTTAGGTGACTCCGACTCCGACTCCGCTAAAGTTGTCGCAACTCCGCAACTCTAACTCCGACTCCACAGCCCTGCAATTCCCAGACCTCAGCATAATTTTTAGTAAACTATTTCTTAGTTTTAGCGGCAGTATGCTTGGAATCATTATCTTACTGAAATGTAAAATTAGATCGAATTTTTTGAGCCGAAATTTTTGAGCAAACAACATTAAATTTTGCTTTAATATCTTTCTGCATCTGATCAATTGTTGTATCAATAAATTGGAGTATTCCGACACCCTTACAAGCCATTGAACCCCATACCATCACGTTAACGCCACCAGGCAAGACAGTTCCTTTCAAGCACATTAGTTTGTCTTTTTCTCCGGCTTTTCTCCAAACCTTTTGGGCTCCATCAGATGATTCTAAGTTGAGTTTCAATTCGTTGTTCCACAGAATCTTTTTCCAGAAACTTAACTGCATGTTTTTGGACTTCTTAGCAAACTTCAATTTTCTTTTCATGTGTTTCTTACTCAAATATAGTTTCTTACGCTCAAGTCGTCCTTGAAATCCCTGGTCTCGGATACAATTTTTGATTGTCTGATGACAAAATTTGATTTCATCACCCTCTTCAGCTTGTCCGCCAGTTTTTGAGCAAGACTGAAGCAATTTTTCTTGACTTGTATAATTAAGTTTCTATCAAAACTCTTAGAAGTTTTCTTTTTGCAAACCTGCTCGCCTATTGTGGCTGTTGTTCCAATCTAATTATACTTCTTCATTATTTCGGATACTGCATTATGAGCAATTCCAGTCTCTTGCTACACCTGACAAAAAGATTTACCCTGATTGACTAGATCGACAGGGGTTGAAGTCGGGGGGAACGCAGGGGAACGCCGTTCCTCTATAGCCGACAAATCACGAAATATCTCAACTTCTCGATAAATTTTCTTTTAAACGTTCCACTATTGCGTTATTGATTTTTTTTTTTCAATGCGATTGTCCGTAAATTAGGCAACGCCTAATTTATTTTATTAATAAAAGTTGATCATTTTTAAAGTTAAACAGTTATTTTAATTTTCATTATTTTAGTACAAGACTCTGCACGGAAAAACTCGCGTTTTGCTTTCAATTAAATTTAAAGTTGGATGATTCAAAAGAACTTAAAACAATTTAATTTTAAAAGTTAAGATTTTTAAGAATACTTTGCAGCAAATTTCAAGTTTTTTAATTTTAATTAAACTTTTAAAGAACTTAGTCGACGCGGCTGAAGTTTTTTTATTTTCTTTTTTTTGTATTAAATTTTTGTTTATTATGGGCAATAAGTATTAAGTTAATGCATAATTATCGCACGTTTTTAAGCGCTACTATTATATAAAAATACTGAATAATAAATGAATACTTATTTTAAAAATATATTGATATTGAATTATATAAAAAAAATATAACTTATAATATTTATATAACAAGTAATATATAACAAAAGAAATATTTATTAATAAATACGACTTCAAAAAACGTGCAATAATTATGCATTAGCCTACTAAATGTTGTCAGTTTTCGTATTTATTGAAGTTTAGTTGTTGTTTTTGTTAATATTTTTTAATTATTTTTTTTTAGCATTTTTTAAAAAGATTCTCGTTTTTATTTCTATTGTTATTATTAGTAACATTATCTTATTAATATTTTTTATTTAAATATCCCTCTAATAACATTTTCAGAATATATTTAATTGATTCATTGTTAAACAAAAAATACATCCCCATTTCCGTAAATGCAGATGGCAACAAAACAAAAACACCAAAAGTTGTCAAACTTTTTTTTACCTGGACCACTCTCCAAACTACATGTTAACATTGCGCCTGACGAAGATACAGATCATGCGTTGTTATATGTTACTAGTTTTACTAGCACGATAGCAACAAGTTGTTCATCATCATAGCCTCAACAATCATGTAGTCTACTAACGAATTCTTTATCATTGATGTCTTAATAATCACTTAGTTCAGCAGCCTCATCTGACAAAAATTGTAACGATGTGGGCAGCACTCATTTTCCTAAATGTTGGACAATTAAACAATAAAATGAGTTCAAGGCTAAAAACAGATTTTTATCATGTATCGATGGAAAGATTGGATGCTCTGTTTGCGATGCAATAAAGCTAGAAAATTATTCCAAGGAATGGACTGCGTGCTCCATAATGTCTCATGGCGAACTCGCGATTCGCAGTTAACGTTATTAAGAAAGAAAATATTAAGCGCAAATTTTCTGAAGCCCATTGGCAAGCTTGCATACTTCTCGACTCAGAAAAGGTAAGCATTTGAAAGCATACTTTGCAAAAAGTAACCATGCAGACTTAGAAACAACTGAATGCGTATTTAGAACGGCATACTATATTTTAAAAAAAACCGACCCCACGCTGACCATCCCGAGCTCATTAATCCACAGAAGCTAGATGGTGTTAACGGTGGCAGAGTGTTACATTCAAATAATGTTTGTGGAGATATAATTAATTTTATAAGCAAGCAAATGAAAAAAAAATTATGCTACATTCAGAAAAACCCCGGTCCGCTTAGTATCTTAACCGATGAAAGCGCATATTCATCCGGAAAAGCATGCTTGATTATATACCTTCGTTATGCATTTAACGATTTTCCAACTAACTTATTTTTAGAGTTACTAGAATTAAATGCAGTCAATTCTTCTGAAATTGCAACTCAAATCCTAAACTGTCTTAATTGGCATTGATTTTCGGATTCCTATTATCCGACAATTTACTAGAATTTTGTTGTGACGGTGCCTTTATTATGGCTGGATCAAATGATAAATAATAATAATGGTGTCTTCAAACAATTGAAGCAGAAGTTTCCTCGAATAGTTGGATGGCATTGCTTGAATAATTGTTTTGAACTGGCTGTAAGTGATGCAGTTAAAGCATGCGTAGCTATTAACCATTTCAAGTGCTTCATCGATACTCTTTATGCTTTGTATAGCACTCAGTCTTCAAAAAGCCTCAATTGCTGCAGCTTTCTTCTTCAGCAATTGAGGTGAAAATTTGTCTTCTTAGGATTGGGCGAATTCTCAGGACACGATGGGCTGCCTCATCATTTTGAACGCAAAAAGTCGTTTTGCACAACTTCAATGCATTACATTTGCATTTGAGTTCTTAGGAGTTCTAATTGACGAACATATCTCCTGGAAACCCCACGTAAACTACATTAACACAAAAATATCAAAGAACATTGGTTTACTATACAAAGCAAGACCATTTTTGTCACAAAAAAGTCTAAAAATTGTATACTTTTCATTCATACATAGCTACCTGATGTATGCCAATATAGCATGGGGCAGTACTCACAAATCTAAATTAGAATCACTTTACCTACGTCAAAAACACCATTCAAGAATTGTATACAACAAAAATAAATTTGCTCATACTTAACCCTTACTGAAACAAATGAACGCACTAAGTATATTTCAATTAAATATTTTTCAAAATATACTTTTCATGTTTAAATATAAACTAAATCTGGTTCCAGAACATTTTACAGCACACTTTTTTAAAAACAATATAAATAAATACAATACAAGAGCAACAGGCAACTTTAAGATACCGTTTGAAACAACAAGACTCTCAAAATTCTCAATTACATATCGTGGTCCCTATTTATTTAACAAATTAGTTTCCAGAAGCGAATCACTATTAAACCTAAACAACGAACACTCTGAAAATAAAGCTAAAATCTACAATAGTCAAATTAAACAACTATAAAATTTTTTTTTTAAATATTAATAAAATTTTCTTTTTAAAATGTAGCTTAACTTTTAATACAAATCGATAATAAAAAATAATAATGTTAATAACAAGGTATATATGTACAACATACATATATACCACGTATGCAACTGATTTTTATGTGTATTACACGTCCAGAAAAAAGTACTCGATGACAAGACTGACTTAAGTCTTCTGCGAGCTTCCTATAACTATAAACAAGTAATTCTTTTAATCAATCTTACACAAATTTCGTTTTTATCATATTTATACACAAACATTAGTTTGAAATGTGGTAAATAAACTTATAAACAAACATCTAAAAACTTCTCCGAAAAATCAGCTGATTTATTTTTATTTATTGTATTTTTTTATTTTAACTTGAATAATATAGAGATATATTTATCGGATTATTTTTACTACATTGTTGTAACTGGTGTTTATTTTAATCGTATCTCGGAGTTGTATGCAACCATATTTTTGTTTACTTTGTATATTTCGAACTTTATGTTTTTGATATTTATGTTTGTACCGAAAACTTTGGTAACTTTGGCCATTTTTAAAAAATTTTGATTAAACATCTGTAACTTTTAAATAGTAAAGTAACGTTTTATTATTTTTGTTTTATTTGTAAATGCAATCTTTCTTGCTTAAGTTTTGATCTGAAGTTTGTTGCAAATGCTCTTTACTATAAGTGAAAAAGAATGACATCTAAAAAACTACATCTTGGTAAAACACAATCAAAAACTGTAAAACAGAATGTTGTCTGGGCGAAAGTAAAAATGAAAGTAAACAACTCAGTTTTTCTTCTGTTTAAAAGACAAACGTTCAGTTAAAATTAAGCGAAAAGTTTTTCGCTTAAATAACAACATTCTGGTTTTTTTACAGGGTGGACAAAGTTACCCCCGTACCAGTAGGTTTATACTCTTTTGGGGTAACTTTGGCCAAGTAAATAATATTCATTTTAAAGTAGTCTGATCGTTATTTATTATAACTAAAATATTTTTTTGAAGCATGTTGTCTAAATAATTTATTTTAAAAAACAGTTTTTAGCATGAATGTATTTTATGATTTAAAAAAAAGTATATTTTCTTGCTAAACTATTTGTTGTTGTTGCTAATTCATAATTTTATTAACTTTATAACAAAATTAATTTATAGACTCTTAGTTTTAAATTTAATTGCAGCTTAATAAAATTATATAATAGATTAATAAATTACTACATTGCAGTTTGCATGTGTTGTTTATATTTACTTTTGTTTAAAGCATAATGCCTCGTAAATATAACAAGCATATTGTTGGAAAACGTGTATACAACACTTGTTCTAATACCATTCTTTTGAAAGAGTGAACTGGTGCAATTATTGAAGGTATGTCTATTCATCAAGCATCAAAAAAGTTTAGTATACAAAGAAGTACTATACATAATAAAACGAAGTCAAAGCATAAAAAATGCATTGGTGCACCAACCATTTTACATTATGATGAGGTTGGTGCACCAACCAATTTACTTATGATAAGGAGCAGTTATTTTCATCTAGAATCAAAGTTATGTGTGATTGGGGAATTCCATTAAATAAAATTGATGTTAAAATGTTAGTAGCTGGTTATTTAAAATTGCAAAATTGTACTGTAAAAATATTTTTAAACAATGTTCCTGGTGATGATTTGGACTGAAGTTTTATGAAAGGTTCACAGTTAACTCACAAAATTGCATCAAATATTAAAAGAAAATGTGGAGCTATAAATAAAGAACAATTAAAAATTTATTTTGACAATATTAGACTTGAGCTTGAAGGAATTCCACCTTGCAACATTTGGAATTATGATGAAACAAATTTGCATGCCGACGCTGGAAATAAAAAAACTGTTATAAAACGTGGAACTAAGTACCCTGAAAGAATTATGAATAGCAGTAAGGCTTGTTTCTCAGTAATCTTTTGTGAAAATGGTGTCGGAGAAATTCTTCCACTATACACAGTTTTTAAAAGCACACATTTATATGATTTATAGATAAAAATTGTTCCAAAAAACTCTTGCTTTAGCAGAACCCAATCTGGCTGGTTTGATGAAGTTACTTTTAAGGATTGGTTTTTCCGAACATTAATGCCATGCGTTAGGAAACAAACTGGGAAAAAAGTATTAATAGGTGACAATCTCTCTTCCCATTTAAGACATAAAGTTATTCATTCTTGTGAAAAACATAACATTAGATTCATATGCCTTCTGCCTAATTCAACCCATTTACTTCAACCTCTTGATGTTGCATTTTTTGCACCATTAAAAAAAGCATGGAGAAGTATACTTCTGGATTTGAAAATTTGCAACGTTACCAAATGAAGATTTCTCTAGGTTGCTGAATGATTTGATGACATCTATTAATGAATTTTAGAGAAAAAATTTAATAAGAGGATTTAGAGCTTGTGGTTTGGTCATTTAATCCTAATGCAGTCTATATCAAATTACCAAGTGAAAACACCTTGAGTCCTCGTAAAGCTTTAGAACAGAGCCTTTTAGACATATTAAATGAGAAAAAAAATGAAAGTGGTGATAAAAAAGATGTTACACAAAGTAAAAGTAAGAATAAAAAAAATATCCAAAAAAGTCTTAAAATTGAACCAGGAAAATCTATTTCTGTAGAATATGATAGTGAAACAGCATCTGAAGATGAATCAGTCTCTATTGAATTTATAATAGATTACTGAAGAGACTTTTAAACTTTTTTTTAAAAAAACAGAGTTTATGTAACAAATTTTTTGTTTATTCTTTAGTACTTTCTTATTATTTGCTTTTTCTGACATTTAATAAAAAAAAGTTTTTTTAACCATTGGGTTAAAAAATAATAATAAAAAATCAAATTATTTTAGCTAATGTTTCTTTAATACTGTTTATATTATTATTTTTTATTTTAGCTAATGTTTCTTTAATACTGTTTATATTATTATTTTTGCTGTCCTTTTTTTAATTTTTTGACACCTTTTTTTGAAATAAATGCTAACTGTAAGTTAAATTATATTAAATGTGGTTAATAACACTTAATTTATATCCGGTGCTAAAAAAAACAATTCACTATGACAAAGTTACTTCATTGCCGGGTAACATTGATCACCTCATTATTTCCATAAAATCTCGGATTTGGTGAATACAATGAATACACCATTTCACTAATTAAATGACATTTTAAATGTACAACTTTGAGTATCAAAATAGTTTTGAAAAAATTTACCTTTTTTTTAAACAGTTATCTTCTTTATCAAAATTGGTACAAAATTACCATGGTTTACGGTATATCTTTACCGCCAATCTGTGATTGGTTACTTGTAAGTACTTTCTAGTTGTAAAATAAACAAATAAAAATAAAAAAAAAAAAAAAATTCATAAATGCTTCAATTGATCCAATTCGTTACTTAAAGTAAAGATCCAAGTTTAAAAGCCTTGCACAGAAACTTGTAAGCGTGTCATTTCTTAAAAACCTGGCATTAATGTATGATGCATTGGAAGAATTCAAATCAACTTCAGAGTTCTACAACTAAAAAATGTCACACTCGCAAAAGCAATTCACGTTATCTCTCGACTCATATCTATCTTTGAAGGGAGAAAGTTTGGAGGAGTATGTACAGATCTACGAAATAATGTACAAATGTACAAAGATGAATGTTTATCAGCAT